GGTGCGTTCTCGGAGTTCGGCGGAACAGAGAGAGGGCACTGGGGAGTAAAACACCGCTCGACCAATCAGAGGGTGTAAGAAGCCTTTGGAAGAAGAGTCGCTAGTAGAACGTCGGAATGCGGCGGATCAGACAGAGGGCGAAAGCACCTCTCGACCAATGAGAGGGCGTTGTAGCCTTAGATGGGACTAAGAAATCACCTACTGCGTGTCCGTGCAGGTGGTCGGGGCGGGAAGAGGGCCGCTGGTGCAGGCGGCGCTGAACGCGGGGGCAAAGGCCGGTCGGGCGCTCAAGGTCTACGCCGTGGAGAAGAACGCCAACGCTGTCATCACTCTCCGTAACCGCGCCATCATGGACAAGTGGACCAACGTTACCATTGTCGCGAAGGACATGCGAGAGTTTGTGAGTATTCCTTGCCCGTTTTCTTCGAACATGTACATGCCGGCACAGAGGACTAATGCACCGTTCGAGATACTACTCCACCACAGCACTCGAAGGAAAGGACTGTTGAGAGTCGTGAGTCTTTATGCAGTGAGTGGGAAGAAAACCAGCATCTTGTTCAGTTCTCTGCTTGTCGCCGTCGATGACGTGTCTCATGTCTCGCCTTCGGCATTAGTGTCGGGACAATGATGAAAGGCCCTCTTTCCTGTGTGTTCCGAGAGGCAAGACCTCCTCGGCTCATCACTCCTGCCTCTGGTGTGTTTAGATTTGACACTGAGCTACCTACGCTTTTGGTGGAGAGGAGACCCAGTATTGTTGGGGGTGTTGCCGGCCAATTTCATCGGCGCCGAAGGGAGAAACGGGACAATCTCCAGGATAGATACATTAGCACATTGACCGCTCGTGCTGTTGATAGTGTTCGCCTGCACTGGAGCGTGCGCCCGGCACGGCTCTACTTCGCTATTCCTACTGAGCAACCCCCTCCCGAATTTCGCTGCTTTTACCCTGGCCGCTGTGCTTCACTACTGTACACTACTCAGCTGACACTACTCAGCTGACACCCCTCCCGAACTGCGCTGCTGTACCCTACCCCCTTGTGCTGCGCTGCTGTGCTCGCTTGTCGTGCGATCCTGGCACGTGATACAAAGGCGCCAGAAGAAAAGGCAGACATCTTGGTGTCGGAACTATTGGGGTCCTGGGGTGACAACGAGCTCTCCCCTGAGTGTCTGGACGGGGCTCAGAGGTTCCTCAAGGCAGGAGGCGTCTCCATTCCGCAGGAGTACACGTCCTACGTGGCGCCCATGTCGAGCCACAAGCTGTGGCGCGAGGTGTCGAACTTCGAGGAGCTCAAGCGGCTGGAGACGGCGTACGTGGTGAAGCTCCACAACTTTGTGCAGCTGGCGGAGGAGAAGGCCTGCTTCACGTTCCACCACCCCAACGAGGAGGTGGGCGGGGAAGTCCACAACAAGCGGCACGTGGAGGTAGACTTTGACGTGGGGCAGGTGAGAAGCAGCAGGAGAACAAGGCGGTGTCAACAGCAGGGGTAGGAAGTAGCGGCAGTGTAGCATAAGAACGGATAGAATAAGTACGGAAGACTGTTCTTATCGTCACCAGCAGGGCAGAAAGTAGTGGCAATGTAGGACAAGTGAGCGGATGGGTGACGGCAGGGCGGAACGAGAGACGGTTAGGAACGGCAGCGCCACCTTGCGGGCATGCCAAGTGTTGCGGATCGCTCTCGATTTTGTCGCAAAAGCCCCAATGACGTCCTTTCTAACGTGCCGTGGCTGCTGCTGCTCTTCGCACGCCCCGAATTCGATTTTCTTTTTGTGGATATTTGTGAGACCCCGCAGCTGCTTGTACTTGTCTTTCGGAAATTTTTGGTTTTACAATTGTCTTGGCGCGGGTGCAAAAAAGGGAGTGAGCAGGGCGGTGCAACACAAGTGGTGTTCCGCCCGGTCATGCCGGCAACCGGCAGATGGAAGACCCTTGGGTTTCATTAGTGGTCTCCGGAGTCCCCCCCGTTGTTCTCGGAACGCTTCTGAGGATTGGTTCTCGGGACGCTTCCGAGGATCGATTCTTCGTACACTTTTGAGTGTGTCCGCATGGAGGCCACCCCCACATACAGGTACCTGTCATCCTCATTGGTTTTTGAAGGGTGCCTTCTCTTTTTTTTTTTTCTGCAGGCGTCGACACTGCACGGTTTTGCCGGTTTCTTCGACTCGAGGCTGTTCGCGGACATCCACATCAGCATCGTGCCCAGCACTTTCTCGGAGGTGGGTGAGGCTTGCTCTTTTCTCTTGTTCTTGTTTGTCTCATGTTGTTATGTTGTTGCTGGGCGCTCGCAGCCACCAGTATTCCCAAGTGCGCCCCCCCCCCCCCCCCCCCCCCCCCCCCCCCCCCCCCCCCCCCCCCCCCCCCCCCCCCCCGCCCCTCGGTATTTCCAAGCGTAGGGTTGGACATCGTGCACGGAAAAAAAATGTCCTGACTCTTGTGCAAGCGCCGCCGCTTACGGGAAGCCTTAGCTTGGGGGCGATTGTGGTGGCCTCGCAAGTCTGTTGGTTTTTGGTGTCAAAAGAGCTTGGCTTGTCTCCCGAAAGACGTTCTTTGGAGCGATAAAAAAGAATGCGTGGTTATTGTTGATGTCATCATCGAGTTGTCGTTGCCGGCGTCTCACATCCGCCTTTTGCGTGAAACATCCCCACCAGCAGTGTTGGTACGCAGGAAAAGGTTTTGTAGAAGCACACGCACATGCGATACTGTTATGTTTGACACTCAGCCTCAACTTGCGCCCTCGTGCCTCTTTCTTCTCTTTCTGTCTCGCTCCCTCCCTGTCCCTCCGCCTCTGTCTCTCTCTGTTCTCTGTCTCCCTCTCCCTCCCTCCCTCCCTCCCTCCCTCCCTCTCTCTCTCGTTCTCTCTCTCTCCCTTCCCCCCCTCCCTCTCTCTGCCTGTCTGTCTGTCTGTCTATCTCCCTCCCCCTCCCCTTGCATGGCGTCCGCAGGGCATGTTCAGCTGGTTCCCGCTGTACATTCCTCTCCGCACGCCCATCGTGCTCAAGCCGGGGGACAAAGTAACGGCGCACTTCTGGCGGTGTACATCCTCCAGCAAGGTCTGGTACGAGTGGGCCCTCACGTCCCCCTCCCCCTCACCAATACACAACCCCAACGGTCGATCTTACTGGATAGGCCTTTAGCTTGTTAGCTTGTGGAACGCGTCACCCGTGCGTGTAGCTAGTTGGTGTGGCTGCCGCTAGTGTCAACGGTATGTGGCGTCGGAGCTGCTTCGCTTTTGTTTGAAACAGAGGTGTTGTGATTTTTCGGAAGCCAAGCGGTCAGTCGACGCCCCTGCTTGGGTATGCGACCGGCGGCTGTGTTGGCGGTGCCCCCGGTCTGCGATGAAACGTTGGATGGAGTGTGTGTGTGCACAACACGGCGCCCCCATAGTATTTCGGGGACAAACAGTTCTTGTTGTCGGGTGTGTAGGCATTCAAGGACAGGTGTTTTTACGGACCCCCTCCTGGAGGTCCTGCCGGGCATGGCGTTACATCTACTGAGCGCCCTTTTTTTTTTTTGGGGGGGGGGGGGACCACCGTGAAGGGTACACTTTGCCCGGTTTCAAGGGTAATGGGGTGAATGATGTTCGTAGGCAGAAAATGCCCTTGGAGGAATGGGTACGCAGTCCAACGTGCTTCTAATGTAGACCAGGAGAGTAAGAGAATGGTGGTGTCTGGAGGGATTGTCAATGTGGCGTGAAAGTGAAGAATGGGTTGAACGCAGATAGCATACATGCACACATGTAGTATCGCCGTGCCGTCTACGAGACACTACCGATGTAGAGCGTTTTATGTGGCACCAGTTTGGTTTCGGGCTACGCATGGTTTTGGAGCTACTTGTATCTGTCGCGTCGCGCAGCGCTTCCATTGTTTCCTCAAAAGCCCTGCTGCAGAAGTGGGGTGACTCTGTTCGCTTGCTGTTGCTTTTCTCTGTTGTTTCCGATAGCGAGCGTTTCACTGTTTCTGAGAAGTTTTGCCGAAGAGGTAAATTGGGTGGCTCTCTTACCTTCCGCCACTTCTTTTCCTGTGTCTGGCAGCGCTTCAATTGTCCCAGAACAACGTTGCCATGTAGGTACATGAGCGTTGATAGGTGTTACTGTTCATTTGCTTTCTTAATTGTTGCGGAAAAACTTCGCCATGTAGGTACCCATAGGTGGAGTGTTTTTTTGCCTCCGGCGACTGCTGCGCCTTGTGTGTGGCAGGGCGATTGTTTTCTTTTGTCACCGCGGGTAGGAGATATTTTCATGTTTCGTCTAGAGAGTCAAGGCCATAGGATACGTGTAGGTCGAAACTGCTGGGAGCGACGAGCAGCAAACAGCACGGCGGAGACAAACTTAAACTTCTTGTCTACTAACAGGGGAAGGACAATTAATTGTCTGCCACCAGGAAGGAGTGACCAATTTCTATTTTTCCGCAGCCTCCGTTTACGTGTGCGCGCTCGCGGTAGCAAATAGTTGTTAGTCGCGTGTGTTGTGTCTCCTTGGTTTTGTTCGGTCGTGTTGCCTGTGCCCATCATCACGGAAGGAAATTCCTACAGCAGTAGTGTCAATGGATGGACGTCAGTGTGGACAAGAATTGCGCAAAGCCTCGGGCGCGGCGGCGCAATTAAGTGCAAATCATCAGTGGAACGAACGTTCTTCTTCGACGTCAAGACAGCAAGTTTCATTAGGGTGGAAGACTAGTGGCGATTACAAGAGGATACGAGCTTCGATTTGCCAAACCACCATGGCTTCGGGGGCCGGGGCACGGGGGCCGGTCGTGTTCCGATGGGCCATTTACAAGGCCGGTTGGTGCCTACGCTGGACAATTACAGCATGTGTTCCATCTTAAGAAATGGTATACGGGTTGGCGGAATTTTCTGTTGTCTGGAACGAGTGGTGTGGGATGGCGGTGGCACGGGTGTCAAGATTCGAAAGGTCTTGCACGGTCAGGCCACGACGTTGTTGCAATGCTGCTTTACGCGCTGCGACTGCATGACTCGCATGCTGCAAAGCCCAGTGCAAACAACGGGCGGTAAGTAGGAAGAGACTCAATCTCCGTCGTTGCTCTTGTCCGCTATCTGTTCAAGGACCTCCACTACGTCGCTTTGCGGCACAACTACTACAAGAAGGCCAGATAAAATCACTGAGGACTTGACCAACAAAAAGCATGCACAAAAGACGAAACGCCACAAGCTATTGAGGCCGGCATCCCAGTGCTACGATGCTTTGACCCAAGGGTTAAATACGTCACGAGGATTGCAAAAACCCAAAAGGAATTTCGAGTAGTGCGAGAAGGCCTCCCGCGCAATTATCAAGGCTAAATCACCGTGAAAAAAAAAGAGTCACCCTTGCCTCCTGTAGAAGCTGCGTCACGGGTTACACGGAAAAACAAGTAGCGTAGCTCACGAAACACCAAACCTTTTTGGCCGAACCCAACCCGGCATGTGCATGCACGCAACCACAACTGTCTCCAGATCCAGACTTGGAATGCACCCATACAACGGGTGACGCCATCGAACAGAGGTCGATCGACACCGCATAGTTGTATTGTAGCACACACGCTCACACACTTGACGGCCGATGTCTTGTTGGGTAAACAGTATACGTGGGATGACGCCGCCGTCGATGTGAATGGCTTATATCCGACAAGAGGCACGGTTCTAGAGAAAATCATTGAATAGATGGCAATGCCTAGAGCAGTGCATACATACAAGTGGACCGTCTGCTCGCGCCCGTCCCATCTACAGAGGCGGTCCCTGTTTAGCGCCGATATGTGCCCAGCAAATTCACTGGCACTTTACCGAACCGGCACTATTCAAAGTGTTGAAAATGAGTTGAAAATTCAGTGCGTGCCCGCTGAAAACACCGGCACTATACCGGGCATTGGCACCATTCAACCGGCACTAAACAGGGACCCCCTCTGTACTCTGGCGCCAGTCTACACAATAATGCACCTTTGGGCGTGCGAACGAATCAGCTGGGGTCACACAGGAGCAAGTCTCACAAAAATACACTCATTTACCCACTACCAAGAACGGGTCCTGACAAGGATGCGAGGGGGAAGGGCCTTGTTGCGGCTGACAACTGCATTGTTCTACATGAATGCCCCGGCGGCAACCTGCGCTCGCAGGTCGTCCATCTGGCTGTCCTTTTGGGTGAGCTGGGCTTCTCTTTGTCGCAGCGCTCGCCTCAAAGACGCCACCTCATACTGCACAGAGGCACGGGACCCACGGGACGGAAACGGGAGCGCGCGTTTTAAAATTAAAGGCAAGCGTTTGTGAGCGCTGATTTTGGAGTAACGACCAAAAAAACAAAACAGAAAAAAAAAACGTGTCAAATGTTGGATCAGTACGGACAGATGAAGGTACTGGGTTGTAGAGAGATCGGAACGGTTTATAATGCCAAGACAACAAGCACCGCAGGGTGGAGAGGAGTGGAGGGAGAAGAACCCTTCTGTGTCATGTCACCACGGATTGGCGCTGGAATACCTCCTATCCGCCAGAACCGACACCTCTCTGTATGTGAGCTGTCAGAGCTGCTTTCATGCGATGAAAAAAATAGGTACAGCAGTGGTCCCGGTATAATGCAGGTACGATCCAGCCGACTTCTACCAGCACTAAAGCGGGCAACCGGAATTATTCAGAGTATGAAACGACTTGAAAATTCCATCTGTGCCAGACGATTCAACCAGCATTATTCCGGGACCCCTACTGTACTGAAGGGTGGGCGACATAGAACAGGCAGGTGTCATCGCCCGTGAAAAGCACGGTTGTCTCTCCCGCGCGCTATCTTCTGGAAGGGTGCGCCTTCTGCAGGCAAATGATCTCTCGAAGCAAAACTATTTCTTGATCTTTCTAGTTATCGAGCATGCCGCTGGTTGGACGTCGTAAAAAGTTACCCGCTGAAAAACCTGGAAAGCTTCAGACGGCAAGCGCCGATGAAATGCCCGCCTTTTGTACGGAATCACCTGCAAGGCATCCAGCGCTCCCGGGATGTCGGCGTCGGCCAGGAGCAACGCTGTGCTGCTCCGCACGCGCTCCGTCCTAGACGCCGAGCACGTCAGGAGGGCTCGGCACAACAATATCAGGTGCTCCCGCCCACCTCTCCCTCCTCCTCCTCCTGCGGAACCCCCCTCCTCCTTACCCCCACCTTCGACGGCTTCGCTCCTCGACGTCGCATCGACGCCGAGGATGCTGCTGTCCACGGCCGCGTTTTGCTCCCCTTCTTCGGCCATGCTAGCCCACACGGCATCCTCGGGGCCTGCTTGCTCGCCGTCCCCATCGACGCCACCGGCACCTGCCAGAGCCGGCGATCCCGTGGTCGCAGCTCTTGCTTGGGTGTTGACGAGCGGGAGGTTGTCCTGCCCCTGCTTGGTGGCCACGAGCTTCTTGAACCGCGGTGTCAGGAGGGTGGGGGGTAGCCTCACTTTTCCCACGGTGGCTAGCACGGAAGCGCACCTTCACCGGCAACGACAGGATTCGTGGGCAACGGCGATGACACCATCGTTGGGAGATTGATGTGGTCATAACGATATAAATTGTGGGACTTTATTACGATATCGCAGTCAGCGCTACCGTGGGACATCGTTCAGATCATCAACACATCTAGTTCGAGGGAGGTTTTCGCCATCAACACCCACCAGCGATTGTTCTGATCATCAACATGGTCTTCGGAGATCTTGCTGCAGCAATGCAACGTCGACGTCATGAAAAATGGCTCTTGCTGACGCGGAGTCTTTCCGTGATCAAGCGCCAACTATCCTAACAAGGGTACTGCTACAAAAAAATGCAGAAAAACAGTAGTTGGTGGAAACGTGCAAAAGAGGCCAAGACCCCCGTCAGAAAAATAGGCACCTGCCGACACCATGTAACCACGCATCTTGCGAGCGTACGTTGGATTACGGCGGCTTGTGCCAATCAGGGCAATCCGGTGTTACCGTGTAAACGCGCGAAAGAAAGCACTGCTGTGAACGTGCGATCAGTACACAAAATCGATACATATCTAATGTTTACCAGCTGATTTCCGTCCAAACCTGTCAGCCCTAAGCGCCAGGGAAGACCTCAGTCGAGCCATGTCTTCCGGTGGTGTTCGGGCAGGAGCATCAGCAGCATCCACCTCGTCTTCTAGCTTCCTAAAGCGGTGTGTGGTCGACCAGACGCACCTCAAGAGGTGCCAACACGCCCGTCGCCTGCACAGCCGGACACAAAGTCATTTTTGCGTCAAACGAAACGTCACAATCATGTGTGGGCAAACCACGCAAAAACATACAGTCAAGTTTCCTCGGTGTCGTTTTCGGGGACGGTGTACGCAACGGGCTGCGGGGGCTACTTCGCGAGAAATTAAGTTAATGAGGAAATAGAACAGGGTGGGGGTACGCAGATCCTATTCCCTAACCCTAACTCCAACCATAACCCAACTTCCCCGAGTGCATGCTTTATCCAACATTATTGCTAATGTACGGGGTTCGAATCCCTCCCCTTGAGCATTTTATCATGTGAGAACGTTATTTGCGCCCGATATATGGGAATAAAAAGTCTATGAATAAAAAGTCTATGAGACTTCGCAAAGTACCGTAATCATCGGGGTCTTGGCACACTGTGCGGTCGCTTCTTTAAATGCTTCGAGCTTCGGACTTTTTTCGCACAGGTTTGCGAAGACCCCGATATGTGCCAAGTTCGCGATACCTGTGCGGAAATGCAGTAAATGTTTTGGTTCTAAGAAACAACGCACACCCCTGTGCCAAGACCCCGATATGTGCGGTGCTGTTTAAATCCAAAGCGGCTGGTACGGCGACATTCGAACGCACACCCCTGGGCCAAGACCCCGATATGTGCGATCCTAACAATGAAAACCACAGGGGATAGCAGCACTTCGCGTGTATGGTATTGCTGCAACACGATCACAATACAGCCAACAGACAAGCTAGTAGCTGCACACACAAACGAGTCTCGGGGATTGCCACCACAACAGTTCCGCNACCCCGATATGTGCGGTGCTGTTTAAATCCAAAGCGGCTGGTACGGCGACATTCGAACGCACACCCCTGGGCCAAGACCCCGATATGTGCGATCCTAACATTGAAAACCACAGGGGATAGCAGCACTTCGCGTGTATGGTATTGCTGCAACACGATCACAACACAACCAACAGACAAGCTAGTAGCTGCACACACAAACGAGTCTCGGGGAATTGCCACCACAACAGTTCCGTGGCGGAGAAATACCGGCGGAAAATCGGGAAAATGCCCGGGACGGAGCTGCGGGCTCGACCACACGCAACGCCCGGCTACGATGTCGGAGGGTGCACGCGCGGGACCTGCCGACGCCTCACAGGCCTCACAGGCCTCACAGGCTAGTGCTGGCGGTCCTTCCTCTACGGATCAGGGAGCTGCCGCTGCGGACCCCAAGGCAACCGGCGAGGCTATCGATGAGATGCTAGCCGCCAACGACCCCGTCAAAAATAGCAACGGCAAACGCGCGTACCTGGAGCCCAACTTCCCGATCGAGCGGTCAGGAGCAGTGGGAGGGAAAGGGAGCTAACCCATCCGGTGCAAACTGAACGCGGCGGCCTACACACGGGAGATCTGCCCGTGCGACGGTCAAACGGTGGGAAACAACGGCGCGGCGAAAGTTCTCCAGGTGCCTCGGAAGCGTATCATCGAGTGGCCAAAGCAGGAGGAGCAGCTCA